TGTATAACCTAACACCCCAAACTGGGAACTAGTAAATTCAACTTTCTTGTCTTTAAGTCTAGAATAACCTAGATTCTCATGCAAATTGATTTTCGTAAAGATCGTCATTCGGATATATTTTATACGTGTTCACTAAAATCGAAATGAACTACTGTTGTCTTTTATAGAAACAATAATTATTAATAGTGACTGTCTAAAGTAAATAATTAATAATAATATTATAGTACCTATGTACGAAAGTGTTTGTTATATTGTCACAAAATTATATATAAAACCTCATGAACTTAACTCAGCCTTACATTTTTTCGGTAGAAAATATTTGCGAAATCAGTTCAGCTGTTTTCGAGATTTGCGCTTAACAAACACATTTAGCCATTGGGTTATATATTTAGAACTCTAAAAATTAATATTAATATCAAATTATAAAGTTCTTAAAGAAGTTATAAATGACTGTAGACAAAGCTATTTGTAAAACTATACTCCTGAGCAAATTATCATAGCAATTTATATATGTTAGGTTGTGACTATTGCAAGTGTGATTTTTATTTTGTCACCTTCTTTGTTCAAATAGTACTTGATTTAATTTTTTTTAATATTTATCATTTACATGGCAGGCAGTAGCATACCTTCCACGTCTTACAAAGTATTAACATTATTATTTGATGCCTGACTGCCTCGTTGGCCGAGTGGTCGCAAGTGCGACTGCCGGGCAAGGGGCGATTCCCGGGTCAGGCAAAGTATTACTGGGTTTTAAAAAAAATCTCAGTAGTAGCACGGAGTCTGGAATTGTGCTCGGTATATGGCAATAGGCTCACCCCCTATTACATGAGACTTATAACATAAATAGTGAAAAGTGGGTGTTACATTGTACAGTGGCATAATGTACACCTCTGCCTACCCCTTCGTGGTCAAAAGGCGTGATGTTACACACAAACATGTTGAACATAACAATGTTATGTTATTATTTGATGGTTAAAATTCGAATCAGAACCTACATAATTCTAACTATGATTATAACTTTACTCCTAAGTTTAAAAATAACGTAAATCATTGTTTAGCAAAATACTATAAATGAAATAAGTTGTTAAAACAGTTAATCTAAAAGCATTCTTTACAACATTTTGTACTGATAAATTACAGAATATTAATTGGTTTATAATAATTATTTGACAGCTGCATAATTGGATAATGAAGACATTTTATTAGTTAATTTTTATTTGTTTTGATTTGATTTAAACTAAATTAACTCGTCGAGTACCGTATTTATAGACACAATTAAAGAACAATAGATTGCGGTCACCGGTGACCGCTTGGTGTTTGACAGTTTAAGTTAGTATTTAATTGTTCATGGCAAATGCAATTATCAGCAGTAGTTAGATGCCTATTTGTTACTAGTATACTATCAGTAGCATGATGTAACTGGTGGCATTAAACTCGCTCCTTATTACATACTTGCTTCTCTCAGCGGCTTGGCCCGCGTTCCTGTGGGATATAAAGTAGCCTGTGTGTCATTCCAGATCATAACCAGCGCAAGGCCCTATCCTGCATATGCTGAATTGGTCCTATTTCACGGCAGACTTGGGGCATGAATATGTATCCATCAGTACCTACTAATAAAATGACTTATTTGTACGTGTCACTTATTTTTTGGCGTGAAATAAGGTTTTTTCTTTCTTTCTTCTTATTTTTCTTATAATCTACACCTGTTCCAAATTTCATCTCGATCCCTTCAGCCATTTTGAAGTAATGGAGTAATAAAATATGCAGACTTTTGTATTTATAATATTAGTAAGATACGAAATGGTATACCTATTCTACTAAAATATGATTTGCAAAAGAAAATTATTTAAATAAATTATTATGTTTTCGGCTTACTCACGTAATAATTTGACGAGGAACTCGACTAGTTTCAAGCCATGCTAGAGGCTAATATTCATGAGCAGCATTTCGCGACCCGCGACGCGGCGACTGTCGCGCTGCTACTGGCTACTCGAGTCTGAATCTGAATATGAGCCTCTAGCATGGCTTGAAACTAGTCGAGTTCCTCGTCAAATTATTACGTGAGTAAGCCGAAAACATAATAATTTATTTAGTATGTCTCACGAAAGTTACAATACGAAAATTATTTAGTTATTAGAACTTAATAAACTTTATATTAGAGAAGAAATTTTCAACGAAAATTTCATGAAGACATTTCAATGGCAAAAATAATCTTAAACATTCATTAATAAATATTTATCAAATTAAAAATAATTCAACGTCAAACGAAACTTCATTGATATATTGTCATCTTCTTAAATTTTAATTGTACCTACTTGATTTCTTTTTTTTAATATTTATCATTTACATGGCAGGCAGTAGCATACCTTCCACGTCTTTCAAATTTTTAACATTATTTGATGGTTAAAATTCGAATCAGAACCTACATAATTCTAACATAATTATAATTTTACTCCTAAATTTAAAAATAATGTAAATCATTGTCTTGCAAAATACTTTATATGAAATAAGTTGTTAAAATAGTTAATCTGAAAGCATTCTTTACAACATTTTGTGCTGATAAATTACCTACAGAATATTAATTGGTTTATAATAATTATTTGACAGCTGCATAATTGGATAATCAAGACATTTTATTAGTTCATTTCAATTAGATATGATTTGATTTAAATTAAATTAAGTTAGTATTTACTTAATTGTTCATGGCAAATGCAATTATAAGCAGTAGTTAAATACCTATTTGTTATTTATTTATTATGACTAGTATAGAGGTACTATCAGTAGCATGATGTAACTGGCATTAAACTCGCTCCTTATGACATACTAGCTTCTGTCAGCGGCTTCGCCGGGTTCCTGTGGGATATAAAGTAGCTTGTGTGCCATTCCAGATCATAACCAGCGCAAGGCCCTATCTTGCACATGCTGAACTGGTCCCATTTCACGGCAGACTTGGGGCATGAACATGTATCCATCAGTACCTACTAATAAAATGACTTATTTGTACGTGTCACTTGTTTTTTGGCGTGAAATAAGGTTTTTTCTTTCTTCTTTCTTTTCTTATAATTTACCCCTGTTTCAAATTCTATCTCGATCCCTTCAGTCATTTTGAAGTAAGCGAGTAATAAAATATACAGACTTTTGTATTTATAATATTAGTAAGATACGAAATGGTGTAGCTATCCTACTAAAATATGATTAACAAACGAAAATTATTTAAATAAATTATTATGTTTTCGGCTTACTCACGTAATAATTTGACGAGGAACTCGACTAGTTTCAAGCCATGCTAGAGGCTCATATTCATGAGCAGCATTTCGCGACCCGCGACGCGGCGACTGTCGCGCTGCTACTGGCTACTCGATTCTGAATCTGAATATGAGCCTCTAGCATGGCTTGAAACTAGTCGAGTTCCTCGTCAAATTATTACGTGAGTAAACCGAAAACATAATAATTTATTTAGTATGTCTCACGAAAGTTACAATACGAAAATTATTTAGTTATTAGAACTTAATAAACTTTATATTAGAGAAGAAATTTTCAACGAAAATTTCATGAAGACATTTCAATGGCAAAAATAATCTTAAACATTCATTAATAAATATTTATCAAATTAAAAATAATTCAACGTCAAACGAAACTTCATTGATATTTATATTTCATGTTCATTTATAACACAAATCCTTCTAAACAATTAACCTCCACTTTGCGTATATTTGTCAAAACAAGAGACAGGTCTCCCGACAACCACCTGTGACCTAATGACGTCACACGGCCGTGTTGCGGTCAGCAATGTGACCAGCTACTGATGTGGTGATGGGCTGATGGCAAATTGCCATATGTCAGGTCTTGTGTGCGAATACCTAATATAAGATATTAGGTATTCGCACACAAGTCTAAAATATAATTATTGGTAGCTTTTGCAAGTTAGGTTTTGCAAGAGCAAAAATCTTCTAGGATATTCATTTGGATTGTTAACTTTTTATAACCGTCATTTTAAATCATTTTATTAATCATTAATGTAAATTATTTATTAATAATTAATTAATTTGTGATAAATTTTACATTTATTAATCACGAATGTCAATGTGACAAATATGTAAATAAAATAGCTCATAATTGACAAATGAAAATGTGCCTAAAGAGCATTTTCTCGCGGATATTATAATTTCTAAATAATTATGTCGACAAATTTTTAATTATAAAATTATGCAGTTTCATATAATATGTAATATTAGAAATTTTTGTTACTAACTAGACCTAAAAATTATTATAATGTTTTACAAATACTAAATTTATTTATAGAAATTTTCATAATATTAAAATTATTATAGCGTATCGTTGACTAATATCTGATAACATTTAAATATTCTATTTTACTTGACAGTAATTTATTTTAATGTGATAACAATCTGCATAATCGATTAAAATGTTGTTTTATAAAATGATACAAATGTCCTTTCAACATCATTTGCATTTTTATTTTTAACGGGCATGTTAATACTTGAAACTTTGGAGAGGTAATATTTTTTGGATTTTAGACTATAACTAGCTACTTCCGCGCGGTTGCAGCTCTCGCTCTGCTCGTCTCCTATTAATCATAGCGTGATGTTTTGTAGCCTATAACCTTCCTCGATAACTGAACTATCCAACACAAAAATAATTATTGTAATCAGACTAGTAGTTCCGGAGATTAGTGCGTTCAAACACACAAACAAACAAGCAAACAAACTCTTTAGTTTTATATAGTAGTAGAAGATAATATGAACGTTGCCAAGCATTATATAACTTATTACACTTATAATAATATCAATGGAAATTCATGAAATGGTTAAGTTACTTTATTTTTAGTTAGTTAAAGAAGTAACGGGTAATATAAACAAATCTTAAATTAGGATGGGATTAAAACAACAACTTGGGTAAACGTTTTTACATTATTTATTGCCTAGAAAACAAAAAATTAACAAAAAAATAAGTTGTTAAAGCCATTTTCCGCTTGTAACATGTTTGCATCATTTGACGTTGTACGTTGGCTTGGTTTGGTATTTCTAAAGTTTATTCAATTATATTTACGCCTTCTTTTCGGTGTAAGGGTGAGCAGCGGCCCATTCAATAGCCCTGGCGATGTAGTCGGGGATGGGGACGGGGGCGGGAGGAGTGGGGAGAAAATCAGCCTGTAACAAAATAAAAATAAAAAATAATATACATGTATTTGGCCCTGCAAACATTTGTTAAATACAAATCTGACGTCACTGGGTGAAAGCAGTGAATTCGCATAAATCCTTATGTAAACTTATCAAGGCTTTACTCTCCACGGATGAACGACGTACCTATTATTATATGTAGTATTATTTATTGTTACCTAAGTATGTTAAGAGTTACATGTTATAACGAGTGAGCCTATAGTTATTATTTCTTCCTGTTGAAATATCATACCCCAAATTTGTTCATACAATAGTAGTCTCTCATCGGAAAGTCTTTAATGTAGTTAATGGGGAGCGGTCACCGGTGACCGCTTGGGGATTAAAGGGTTCATTTCGAAGTTCCCATTGTTTGTTTCCTTTTTTCAGTGTTCGGCAGTCGGCCAGTCCTTGTTCATCATTAGACTATTACATAATTATATCTGTATGTATATGTATGTCCAATTGAAAACGTCACGCGATGTCTATGGACATTTATGGTCAGCTATTCCATCTTTACTAAATACCAACCACTTTAAAAAACATGTTTTAATATTATTAATAATATAAAACAGGTTCCATTATGTCTTTAAGCTGACAAATATTAAAATTAATCACAAATATTTGGAGACAAATTTTATTATTATTCAAAAGGAAAAAATATGTTTTTAAACGAATGCAAAACCGTGGAAATCGGTTCGTGCGTTCTGGAGTCATAGCGTCAGAAAGGAAAACCCGACCTACTTTTATATAGTAGATACCTATATTCCGTTAAACTATTCATTAAACCAGGTGTTTTTTCAAGTTTCTTAGAATCAAAGTGATGATCAGATACTGACCTGGGGCTGGTATCCGAACTCGTTGGCAACGTAGCTCAAGCTGTATACTTTGCCCTCAGGGGATTTGTAAGAGCTGGAGCCAGTAACCTCAAGAGCGGCCTCGTCCTGAAATAAAATTAATCTTGAGTAAAAATAATAATATATTCCTTCGTGCATCGTCCTTTAATGAGGCTTTTGGTCAGCAGTACCTATATGATTGTGTGAAGGAGAAAGGCTACTTTTCATTTTTTATGGAATAAGTTTTAGGAATAATTTTATAGTTCCAGTATGGCTTCTTTCAGTCGTTGAAAGAATCTGGCAGTTGGGACTCGAGGTGGTGCTCCACAAGTCCGAGGCCATGTGCTTTCATGGCCGCGGGAACGCGCCACCTCCGGGTGAGTCCCAAATAACGGGGAGGGGTTACCATCGGCGTCGAGACTACGATGAAGTACCTGGGACTCGTCCTCGACAGTTGGTGGAACTTCGTAGAGCCTTTCCAACGTTTGGCTCCAAAGTTGGAAAGAACGTCGTCGGGGCGAAACCCCGCTGCCGCGCCAGATAAGTGCGTGGCGGGAATAGCTCCGGCGCGATCTCATGGCAGAATGGCAGCAACGACTGTCGCAACCGAGGGCTGGGCTCGCTGTCATTGCAGCGGTAAGTCCCCTCTTTGAGGAGAGACGCTACAGCGTCCTTACCTACCGCCTGACGCAGGTCCTCACCGGACATGGAAGTTTCGGGAGGTACCTGTGTCTAATGGGGCGGAAGGAAACGCCTGAGTGTCATTACTTCGAGGAGCACCCTGAAGACACGGTTTAACACACTGTAGCGGAATGCCCCGCGTGGGCTGAGCACCGCCGTGCCCTCATGGACGTGATCGGCGATGGCGACCTCTCACGTCCGGCCCTAGTGTGGGCTATGATGCGGAGCAAGGGGGACTGGAATGCCGTCTCCTCCTTTTGCGAAGCAGTCATGCTAGCTAAGGAAGAGGCCTCACTCCGGGCGTCGGGGATCGCGGGACGACGGCGAGCATGGGTGGCTCGCCGCTCGACCAGAACCAGACCCGAGCGTACGGCGCGTCACGTTCCGCGCGCGCCTCAAAGAGCTATCAGACCACCACAGATGGGGCTCAATAGGGCTGATACCGATTCGGAGTTGCGGAGAACCTAACGGAAAGCCGGGACTCCGGCTCGAAGAGCAGGAGAAGGAACGGGGTGGTTTTTTTAGTCAGTAAGAGTCTGCCACTCCCGTCCGCCTCACCCAGGCGGGAGAACTCATTCGATGATTTTTCCCCCTTAAAAAAGTATGGCTTCTTTCGCCCCCTATCTCCTCATTTTTTTTATAAAAATTGTGTCTATTTATGTAGGGTATTCATTTAATGTAATTTGATAACTATAATTTGGTGAAGGGTTATTGAGATTAAAATAAGAAAATGATGATTCAATCTCAACAAAAAGAAATGTATTCAAATTCTTTGGTCGAACAAATATTGGTAATTGTAAAAAACTCAACTACCGTAATCGTATGTATATCTAGGTAATATTTTAGACTGAGTTATACTCATATACTAAAAAAATAAGTAAAATCTATTCGCTATAAAGGATCAAATCGACTTACCTTTCCTACAGCCTTCACTGCGCCGGAAGCCTGGCCAGAGATACCGTTGTCGGTTTCGTAGACATACTGGAAGTCACCGTTGGGGCTCTGAGCGTAGTCGCTACGGAGGACCTGGGCGACCGGCTCGGAGGCCAGGGCGCATGCGAAGATGCAGACGGCAACGATGAAGGTTTTCTAAATTTACAATAAAAATATTAATTCATAATTGTAACTTTAAAATTACCTATTTCATGTTAAATTCATTGATTTTATAAGTTCATTATTATTTTATCTGAAGTTCTTTTTTTTTAAATAAATATAAAAACATAATAGATCATGTAGATAAAAATTGTTCACTGTCAACAATCAGAGATTATCGTTTTACGGAAAAGTTATTATTATCCATTACTAATGCACAATACTGAGATGCATTTATCAATTAAAAAATAAATAATCAGTAATATAGTATTACTCATCTGTATAATTGTGAAATTGTGTACAAATAAAAATTTTATTTTATTTCATCAAATTACAATTACGTTACATTAATTCATTAGAAATGCCTTAACTAATTGACTAACAACCATGACTTTTTAATTACACTTTTTCGAGTTTTCAAAATCACTGATCACTTCATGTTTTACACTAAGCAATACTTTTTACAATTCTATCGATTTCTCACACTTACCATTTTGATGTTGCTTATTCGAACTACTGGTTCAATCTAATGCTGGAGTAAAAACTTAGTTTCTTATATACACATTCTCAGGAATATCAAATATATGAACTCATACCTAATACTCACGCAGATAGAAAGGTCAACTTTTGTTTTTTTCTAACGTCTTATCGCCCTTACCTTTGACATTTTCGTTTTGAGCAAACGAAAAACTTGTTTCGTCTCAGTGAAAAAAAATTATATAGTTTTGTCGCAACGTGAGTTCTTATTTTTATCTGAATACATTAGGAAGAATGAGAAAAAGTTATAATTAAATCGATGAGGAATTTTCCGATAGCTAATATAAAAAAAAAAACATTTAACATAATTAGAAAATAAGTCAGAACAAACCTTTAATTTTAAGTTTCATAAGAATTAATTTCAGAGAATGAATAGTTTCATTTTTAGTTAATTAAATTTAGATTAAAATATTGAATATAAAATTCATAATTCTTTAATAAACTTGGTTAACATTTCGAAACAATTATGCGTTCAATGTCATACATTGATGCACGATGGACACTTGACATCGTATTATATGAACATTAATTTGCTTAAATACTTAGATAATAAAAGTGTAGGCTATATTTTGACGAAGATATATGACTTATTAATAAACTTATGATAGGTTGAACCTCGTTATGATGAAGTGAAAGGTGGTTCGAATCGTAGGTCGACAAATATTAGGATTTTTGATCAGCAAGAGCACTTATTGTGGAATTAAACACAAATTGTACAATGGATCTTCCTGCATGTTTGTCAAAATGTACGTATTTCATCGTTGTTTAAGGAAACTCGATATAGGTTTTTCATATCTGAGGAATATAGATACTATTCGATTTGAAATTAAGCTAATCTTATTTCTGCATCAAATTAAATTGAAGCAACATTCAAACAAACTTTAAGTCCGCAAAATCGTCGTCAAGCGCTGGAAAGAGAACTAGGTAGTTCTGTTTAATGAAATTATAATCCATTAGCTTTATCAAGATAAGCACATCTGGAGGATTTCCTTACTCTATCTCGAGGACTTTAAACTCAGTAAAGGCTAGGAAGGAACGGGAATTTTTTATTTCTTTTTGATATTTACAATAGTTATCAGACTAATTTTATTCTAATTTTAATTTTAATGTCCATCAGGTGAATTATTTTAAAACATTAGACACGTAATTTTTATTATCTTACTGAAACGAATACTTTCGACGAATTATATTGATTTGAAATATCGCGTGACGTCACGGACAAATGACGATTTAGTTTCGTACCACAAGACAATCGGCGAAGCTTCGCCGATTCATTTATTCAGTAGATGTCCCACCCACACGCTAAGGAGTGGAAGTCTTTGCCAAAGTCTGTATTTCCAAGGAGTGGAAGTCTTTGCCAAAGTCTAAAGGGTAATAACCTGGGTGTCTTCAAGGCCCGAGTGAATAGGTTGTTATGGGTAAACGTGCTCCATCGTAGACCATCGCTTACCAGCGATGATGTGGTCTCGCCTGGTGGTAACCAGGCCAGATAGTGATCAAACGTCAGTCCCATCATATTATATAAAAAAGAACTCCCATTTCTAAACTTTGACTCGTTTGATATAAATTTTGGTTTCTTGTACGACAAAATAATAAAATACGTGTCTAATATTTTTTGTTACTTAACAGATGGACTAAATAGATTTTTAATTTCCATACCCCGTCGTCATCCCTGTTAGTATACGGTTAAGAGTTTTTTTTTAAGGGGGGAAAATCATCGAATGACTGCTCCCGCCTGGGTGAGTCGGGAGGGAGTGTCAGACTCTTACTGACTAAAAACCAACACGTTCCTTCTCCTGCACGTCGAGCCGGAGCCCCGGTAACCCGTTAGGTTCTCCGCGACACGGTTAACAGTTAAGTACACAATTAAATATTGCACATAAGGTTTAAGCTATTAGGTACCACACCTTGCAAAGTCAAAGCATTTATTTCTATTAATCCTTACCTAATAAGGCACTTTTGAAACGTCAAAAATTGAATTGTCCGTCTGTTTGTTCGTCAGTGAAGCTAAGCGCTCGTTACTTTACTGTTACTTACATTACAGTACAGTTAAAACTATACAGTATTATCGTATGATGTGTAGTGTGCATAAGCAGGACGTGTAACGGGGTGGTTTTTAGTCAGTAGGAGCGTGACACACTCTCGGCTTACGATAGGAGGAATTCAACGATGTTCTCCTTCAAAAAAAAACGTTTTTATAAAAAGATGCCAACAACAATGAAAGTTTATTCCACAATAGATAGTTTATTTAGTTAATAACTGTTGTCCGCTACTTAAATTCTGTAATCTTCATTTTTCGAAATATCAAAAAACGAATTGTTTTTGTCTATGAATTTTGTATTAGATTGCGTTAAAAAGTTCGCGACGTCATATCTTTTTGCGCTAGTAAATATCATACTCATACACGTACATACGTATTTCTCTTTAAGAAGACACATAAAAACTAAGCTTTTGAAGTATCAAAACAAAACGATTACAGTAACTGATGTCGTTTGTGAAAATTAAATTTGTGTTTCATTGAAGAAACAAACCTTCTATGAAACATGGCCTTTGCCTCAGTAGTAAAGTTTAACCGAAAATAAAAGTTAACCAATTAAGCGAAGCTCATAGCCTAAAGAAGTCACATAACATACATAACATCCCGCCTTTTATCCCGAAGGGGTAGGCAGAGGTGCACATTATGCCACTGTACAATGTAACACCTACTTTTCACTATTTATGTTATGAGTCCCATGTAATAGGGGGTGAGCCTATTGCCATATACCGGGCACAATTCTAGACTCTGTGCTACTACTAAGAATTTTTTAAAAACCCAGTACTAATATTTTGCCCGACCCGGGAATCGAACCCGAGACCCCTTGCGCCGGGCACTTGCGACCACTAGGCCAACGAGGCAGTCGGCGACAAAAATACATCATCTGATCATACATACCTATATTTCCAGATAAGAATTAAGATTTTGTAATGAACTGCCTCGAAGGTGGGACTACAGAATGCCGAATATTAATTATATTTGTCTTACCATTGCACACTGATTAGTCATTGTGAACACTGTATTGTAAACCTACACGTAATAGTTATGCGATGAACATACTTTAGTCATTTATTTCGTCATTACTAGCTTTTGTTTGCGGTTTCTTCCACGTTTCCGTAAGATAAAAAGTAGGGTACTTTGATATGTAATTACCTCTACAGACCTAGATTAGGTATTGAATCAATTCTGACGACAATTGTTACCGTAGAATATCCCTTGATAAAGTAGTCTTTATCAAGGGTTATTCTACAGTTCAAAAGCCTAAATTCTGCCAGAAGTAATTATTCTACGCGGACGAAGTCGCGGGCAAAAGCTAGTATAAACATAATGTAGTGTTACAGACAAGAATAGTAAGGCATAAATTCGGCCTTATCTCTAAAAGTGATCTCTACCAGGCAACCTTTCATTATAATCATAATCTATCCTGTTCCAAATTTTATCCTAATCCCTTCAGCTGCTTTGACGTGATTGAGTAACAAATATACCTACATACCACAGAAATATTAAAAAAGTACATACACATACATTGAGAAAAGTAGGTACCTATTTTAGAGAATTGTACCTTGATATTAATTTTGTAAGACGAAAAGTTTTTAATTGATGTTTGCTCTATTTTCATAAACAAATAACCGAACTGGTCAGAAAATTGTTAATTAATATTTGGAGAGCAGACTGTCCTTCTTTTTCAAAAAAATAATAAATAATAACATAACATAATATTACGCCTTTAATCTCCAAAGGGGTAGGGAGAGGTGCAAATTATGACACTTAATGCCAGTGTACAATGTAACCCACGTTTCACGATTTATGTTATGAGTCCCATGTATTAAGGGGTGAGCCTATTGCACTATACCGGGCACAATTCCAGACTCCGTGCTACTACTGATATATACCTCTATAAATAAATAATAATGTCCAATAATATCTGTGTTGGTAGATTTTTAAGGGGGTAAAATCATCGAATGACTGCTCCCGCCTGGGTGAGGCGGCAGAGTGTCAGACTCTTACTGACTAAAAACCACCCCGCTCCTACTCCTGCACTTCGAGCCGGAGCCCCGGAAAATGTTGGTAGGTTAGCAACACTTTTGCCAACAATTTAAATAAAAACGATTACAAAATAATTAAATAATAGTAGCTAAATAAAAATATGTAAATAGCTAGATAGCCTTCTTAAAACAAGTCTTTCTACTGCGAATAAAAGTATATTTTTTTAATATTATTTTATTATTTATTAACATAGAAATAGGTCTTTAAATCTGTGTTACTAGGCGGAATAATTAGTGCTCGCTGCAAAAATTTTATTTTTATTTCAAGTTCATAAGCCAATAAAAAAACTTGTTTAAAATCTAGTCTGATTTAATATTCTGCTATTTTTCTTTTTTTTTGTGATAGGAGACAAACTAGGGGCAGATCACCTGATGGTAAGTAATATTAAATACCTACAAACGCAACCCTAGATGACTTATATTTAAGTTCAAAATTAAATATCCCTAAAAAGGCTACATTGAACAAATTGAGTTTCTATTGTTTCTGTTACGAATCTCTTAAAATCATGATCAGCTGACAAACTGGTACTACCTACAATACATGAATGTCCTAAAAGATTGACATTCCGTATCAATTCTTGACCCTTGACCTGATGTAGCCTAACGTACGAAGTATACTCGGTCACCTTCAAACTTATACTTTCATCCGAGTAAGAATATGCTAGAGGTAACCAAGAAATTGTTACATATTTGTGTGGGTTTCTGCCCAGTAGTAATAAGAACCATGAACTGAAGAAAAGGGGGCACATAATAATAGTGTGTGTTCTTTCGTTTACTCTTTCGAGGGTTAAAAAGATTGATAAATATTAAGTATATTACGAGAAAACCAGATAAGTAAAGATTGCTCTCCCACACTTAATAGATATTAAGTATGAAGCCATGCTTCGGCACGAATGGGCGGGCTTGACCAGAGTGATGTGACAC